AAGGATCACACAATTACATCCAGGTAATCAGGAGGGACCAGCCAATTAATTATACTCGTGAGCAAATATTCCATAACTGCAGGTGGCAGTAAATTGCCAACCATGGCTTTATACGTGTTCATCAAACAACACACTCCAGGTGGCAGTATGCACCCTTTCAGTCTGTTTACCAACATATAGAAGTAGTAGAATAATAAAATGGACTACTTAAAAATGGAGATGGCCTCAATGGCGCTTCCCATTATCGTGAATGGACGTAGTCCTGGTGACCTGATGACTCCTCCAGTCTCCCAACAGGATTCTGTCAATTCTAAGTGTCAAGGCCGGGCATAGGTGTGGTGTGGAATCAATTGCAGGATGCAGATGCAAGTCCAAAAACACTTTAATAAAGTCCACAGAAACAACGGCTATAAACAGAGCCGGTTGAACAAGGGAAAAATAAACGCACTCAGCGTAAAAGTACAACAAACGCACAACGTGCGGACTCTCTAATAACATAGAGCACAAACTGACTGGCAACACCTGCTGACATAGAACAACTACACACAACCACAAGACAGAAACAACGAGAACTTAAAGGACACATAATCAAGACGAAATGAGCAACAGGTGTAACAAATCAGACCAAACCAAACACACACAGACACAACGAACGGTGGCAGCTAGTACTCCGGGGACGACGACCGCCGAAGCCTGCCCGAACAAGGAGAAGGAGCAGCCTCGGCCGAAACCGTGACACTAAGATGAGGAAGGACAAGAGGAGCAAGAAGATGAGCCAGCCCCAAGCAGCTGAAAGACTACACGACCCAGTTAAAGGCAGGGAGGAAGTGGCAAGTGCGTTGCAAGTATGCATTGATGTTCCTCTGCCGGAAGTTCACCTTGTATAGAAGCGCCCCCGTCAAACTCAAGCCCTGGGTATGAGCTGATAGAACTGCTGCACAGCACCCGGGCCTTGGAGAAGCCATCACTGCAGAGCGTCGTCACGTGTGAAGGGGACAATGTGTTACCTAACTTTTCTTGATAAGCATCACGTGTGAAGAGGAAGGTGTGTTGTATAACTTTAAGGAAGGCATGGGCTGGGGAGAAAGAAATGTATACATACTGATGTTTTAGACACGGAAAGGACAAATATTTGGAGCAGACCAAGCAGAAGCAGCCTGATTGTCAACAGATTGCAGAATTTGGGGCATTGACAACTCGAAGTGTTGTAACGAGGTAAGCTATATGATAAGGTAGAACTATTAGAAGTAATTGTAATGGTTTTGTGAAAGAGTTCAAAAAGCAAATAACCTTTGCTTAAAAAAACAAGTATTATTGTTAAAAACTAATCAAATTCATCAGTTGTGAAACTGAGGAACCAAACAAGAAGTGTTATTGGTTTTTCCTAAATAGTTACTCCTTTGTTTAAAAGAAGTGTTCAGAAGAAAATAACACTGATAACAAACTTAGGTTAAAGGGCTCTACCTCGGGGTAAGGTGTTACCAGACAATATGGGTGATTCTCATGAAACCAGTTTATAAAATGTCTGTAGCAAATAGAGTTACAAAACCATAATGCATCTGCAAAATTCAACTATTATTTTGAGGATTAAGATGTTTAGTTTTTGGTAAAGTTTCTTATTTTAAATAAATGTTTAATTTTCGCCAGAATTTTGTAAATTTTCACCCCAAATTCTCATTCCCGAAATGCTTCCGGATTAAATTCTCTGGTCATTTTCATAAAATAAAATATTGAGAAAATCTAACTTATTTGAATGAAACACAAAATATGTTGCTATAGATCGTCCATAAATCATAAAAATTGTATACTTGTTGAAGTTTACATTAAACTATCATATTTTTTTACGTACAACACAGTGTCTGTGGACATGTAACACTTTTTCCAGTTCCCGTAAAAACTCAAATCAGTTTTAATAAAGTTATATTCACCCATGATGCATCATCTAGAGGAGTAGGACTTAGATGATCACAAGTTCAGTAAATGTATTTGCTTATATCCTTTCAGAATAAGGTTCTTATTCTCAAACACCCCCTTTTCCGCACTTGGCCTTCTCATTACCGAAACGGCTAAAGAGCTCAAATTGGGGAAAAGTCTGATTTTATTTTATAATAATTGTCTAATAAAAAATATTTTAGAAATATTGATTTGTTTATAAACTGTTACAGTAATGAGAATTTTGTGAAAATGTTGGTAAAAAACATATCTGATTTAAATAAACTAGAATAATTATGAAATAAATAAGTACAGATCCTAATCTCAGTGATTCAAGAGAAAATGCTGTGAACAATGACACTTGAGAATGTATGTATTTTTGACAGTTTCATGAGAATTAACCATATTGTGGGATGAAGCAGAAAACCAAAGGGGAGCTCGGGGGTATAAATGCACACTTAAAGTGGAACTGAAAGCGTTTTAGCAACATGAAAAATTATAAAAATCTGTTCATATACACCCCCAGGAAAAATATGACGCCTTTTTTTTTTTTTTTTTACATTTTCTGAGAAGCGAGCACTTAGATATGGTCATTTTCACGTGTTCATACTTTCATATAATGTTTGGGAATGACGTAGAGTAAGGCATTTGTAAAAATTCTATAGCAATATAGCGGGAAAGTGGCCGTGCATTTGGACAATTGATAGACACTGTAGTAAATCAAATCAAATAAAAACTGGTCTGTCTTGTCCAGGGCTGTGTACATTTTTATGTTCTGGAAAGTACAATTAAACAGAAACGATGCTGTACTGAACTACCAGTTGAAAAACGAGGAGGGGTTGGGTTGTGGGTTGGGGAACGCTTTCAGCATGGCCACTTCTCTTTAAATATGTCACTCATTGCTTTAAGCCACACCCACCCAACGGGAGCAAACGTACTTCAAAGTCTGTTTAAAAACGATTTTGGGAAATGTGTTGTTCAGTACAAACCGTTCCACAACGTAGCAAACATTCAAGCGAACTGAACGCACCTCAGGGTCCGGACTCTGCACAGACCAATGCGCCATAGCCAATCAGAGCTACAGTAGGCCCAGGGATGTAGTGCTGCTGGAGCGCTAGGTAGCCATTCCCATTCCCATTCCCATTCCATTCCCTCACTTTTCTCAATTTGAGAATACACAGAGCTGGTAAAAATATTTCTGGAAAATTATTTCTGAAGCTGAATCAATGTCCTGCATGATCACATAATGATGAATTAGTGTTTTAAATAACATAACCTAATATAATACGATAGCATAGCATAGTAGTAGGGCTATAATGTTGGCCTACTGTTAAACCAAAAACACCTCATTTCTAGTGAGATTTTAGGATGGTATTCACATTTCTTTTCTCATCTGGCCAAAACTCGGAACAGCACGCCACTAGGCAGGATATATGCTTTAATTGAAACAAAGTACAGAAAGGCTTATAGTTTAACACCATCTGCTCTAATTAGCTCAAGAAACAGTAATTCAAGAAGATCTAAATGCATATTCGGTATGAAAATGTATGCACTCACTAACTGTAAGTCGCTCTGGATAAGAGCGTCTGCTAAATAACTAAAATATTCAAATATTCCCATGACACTGATTGAGATCAAATGATTGAAATGCAGAGGCAGTTTGGACATTTCACCAGTAAAATGTGAAGAATTGTCATTCACTGATTGACAGTGATGATGGCCTATTTTGAAGTTAGTTATGCCTAACTTGGTGTTTAAGGGAATAAAAAATTGAACATTTTCTTGAGACAATATGTGTGGGCAGAGGCACTGCTCCAGAGTCCAATGGCGGCGAGCTTAACACCACTCCAGCCGACGCACAGCATTGCGCATGGGGATCTTAGACTTGTGTGCGGCTGCTCGGCCATGGAAACTCATTTCATGAAGATTCCTACAAACAGTTATTGTGCTGACGTTGCTTCCAGAGGCAGTTTGGAACTCGGTAGTGAGTGTTGTAACCGAGGAGAGACGATTTCTACATGCTACAGCACTCGGAGGTCTCATTCTGTGAGTTTGTGTGGCCTACCACTTCGCAGCTGAGCCGTTGTTGCTCCTAGACATTTCCACTTCACAATAACAGCACTTACAGTTGACCGGGGCAGCTCTAGCAGGGCAGAAATTGCTAGCTAACAACTGCACCTCTAGCTGTACCCACGCTTGAGTGAACCTAGAAGGAACTTCTGGGAGATAGCCCGTACTAGTCACCTCGACACCATGCTCTCACATACGCCATAATAGGCAAATACAATGTTGCATCCTCTAACTAGCTCCATGATATTTACAGTGAGCTGCTGCCCCGTAGCGGTCATGCTGCAGTACTGCATGGGCTGACACAGGAGAACACGCCCTCAGACCAGCCAATCACCGAAGGCTGGAACAAAGACAGGTGCACTTTCCAAACAACCAACTGCAAGGATTCAACCCCTAGGAACAATAAAAATTAATTTGCGATACAGTAGCTAGTTACAATGTAACAACAACGTGTTAATATTGTATCGATTTAATCAACGACTAGACTTCTGCGAAACTCAAAATGTTATTGTGAAGCAGGTAAGAATTAGTCAAAAACAACCTCAAGGTATTATACTGAACAAAAATATAAACGCAACATGTAAAGTGTTGGTCCCATTTTTAATAAGGTGAAATAAAATATCCCAGAAATTTTCCATATTTACAAAAAGCTTATTTCTCTCAAATTTTGTGCACAAATTTGTTTACATCCCTGTTAGTGAGCATTTCTCATTTGCCTGGAAAATCCATCCACCTGACAGGTGTGGCATATCAAGAATTGATTAAACAGCATGATCATTACACAGGTGCACCCGATTGGCTGCGCCTCTGCCCAGTCACGTGAAATCCATGGATAAGGGCCTAATTTATTTATTTCAATTGATTGATTTCCTTCTATGAACTGTAACTCAGTAAAATCTTTGAAGTTGTTGCATTTATATATATTTTTCAGTATATTTGTTCAACGAATCGTTCTGACTATAAGAAGTCAGAAGTTCCTGGGCACTGGTCATTCCGCCATGTCCCTCCGTGTCCTCCTGGCAGTGGTGGTGGCTGTTCTCTATCTGTCCCCGGTAACGTTAACCCGGGCTGGGGACAGGACAGAGGGGACTCCCGACCCATCCTACGTGGCCGCAGTCTATGAGCCGCACGTGCCTCTGTCCCGGGACGCGGCGCTCGAACACATGATGAGGAACAGGCCGCGCGGGCGGCGGAACAGGTATGGTACACCTTGTTCCTTCACAACACACAGAGAAACAACCTCCACGCATCTTTCTCTTTCTCAAAAGCCTTTATTGGCATGGAAAGTGTTATACATTGCCAAAGCAAACATAGATACTCTCTCCAACTCTCTCTTCCAGGGGGCTCATATCATAGTATTTCCAGAGGATGGTATCCATGGGTTCAACTAGAGTCGTCTGTCCATCTTTGGTTACCTAGAGACCATCCCTGACCCACTGACTGAGGACTGGAACCCCTGTACACAGCCTGACAGACACAATCACACTGAGGTATAAACACACACCTTTACTTACCACTGTGGATCCATATCTAATGTCATCAAATGTCTGTGTTAATGTGTGTGTTCTGCCCTGTTCTCTCTCAGGTCCTCCAGAGTTTGAGCTGCATGGCTCGACGTCACCAACTCTACCTGGTGGCCAACATGCCTGACCTCCAGCCCTGCCCTCTGACCTCTCACCCCCCCTGTCCCCCCGACGGGCACTGGCAGTTCAACACTGATGTAGTCTTCAGGTTGGTAGTAAATGTTTTGTTTTAAACACGTTTGTTGATCCTGTGAGAAAAATGTATTGTACGGGGAGCACTACATGTATTGTAAACCTCCAGAGGTTCTCTTGGAATAGGGGTGTTCATTTGTATTGATTTCCAGAAGCTTTTTAGTTATACAGGAGGGACTTTCAATTATGTTTTTGCTTTTCGCCCAAAGTGCACCATACCATCAACCATTCTCTATAGGACTTTATTTGATTTGTATAACAATTGTATTACTTTTACACGATGTTTTGGGTTATATAGATTAACATTAATTTTCTTTTCCCATTCACTGCAGGTCTGATGGTTCCCTGGCGGCTCGCTACCACAAACAAAACCTGTTCTTCGAGAAGGAATTCAATACCCCGCCCAGACTAGAGGTGGTGACCTTTGACACGCCGTTCGCCGGACGGTTTGGGGTGTTCACCTGCTTCGACATCCTGTTTCACGACCCTACTGTCAGGCTACTGGAGCAGGTATACACACACCTTTTCCCACAATGTTTCATTATGGATCCAAATTAATTCATCAAAAGTCTGTTCATGTCTCTCTCTCTCTCCTCTTCCCCCCCCCTTCCTCTACTAACAGCAGTTCAGTTCCAGAGAGCGGTCAGTCTGGGAGCTAACGTCACTCTGCTGGCGGCTAACCTCAGGCATGACAGCAAGGCCATGACGGGCAGCGGCATCTTCACCCCAAGTACTTCCATCTACCACCATGCCGGGAAGCCAGAGGAGAGGAAGCTGCTGGTGTTGAGGATACCTGTACTGGACAGTGACTGGCTGGCAACAAAGAAGCAGGCAAAGGGGCAGGGGGAGACAGGAGGAGAGGGTGAACCTCTCTCTGCCGTTCTTCCTTCCCTGTCTACCACTCCCTCCCCTTCCCCTTCTCGCTTCAATGCCTCTATGATGGGTGACCTGTTCTCCTTCGCCTTGCTGCTTGATTCAGAGGGCCAGCTGACAGTGTGTGATGGTCCACTCTGCTGCCAACTGCAGTACCGACGGTCCACACAGGGTGGCAATACGGAGCTCTATGCTCTAGGGGCGTTCGCTGGCAATCACACAGGTGCCAGACATTTCGGTTTTGGGTCAATTCCATTTAAATTCCAGTCAATTCAGGAAGTACACTGAAATGTAAATTAATGAGAAATGTCAAATTGGAATTTGGTTTACTGAATTGAAATGGAATTGACCCAACCCTGATTACAACTTAGATTTGGAACTGGTAGGGATCCTGTGTTTGTGTATACATGCAATGTGTGTTGTATTTAATTCTACAGCTGTGATCTTAAATTTACATTTTAGTCATTTAGCAGACGCTCTTATCCAGAGTGACTTACAGGAGCAATTAGGGTTAAGTGCCTTGCTCAAGGGCACATCAACAGATTTTTCACCCAGTCGGCTCATGGCATTAATGATTAACCCCTCCCCCTCCAGGTGTGTGCGTTGGTCCGCTGCTCGGGGTCGGAGGTCAGCTCCTGTGGAAAGGGAGTGAAGGAGGCTGAGTCTAGAGTGGACTTCCGGTTGGAGGGGAAGTTCGGAACGCGTTACGTTTACCCATCTATGCTAGGTAGCGGCATGGTTGTAGATCGACCCGACCTGATCGAGAAGACAGATGGTCGAGTGGCCGTGGAACACTCAGGGATGACCGTCGGGCTGGTGACCGCATGTCTCTACGGCAGGGTGTATGACCAGGACTAGTGTGTGTGAGAGAGTAAATGTTGTTCTCTGTACCGTTTCTGTTGTCTAAAATGACACCCTTTTCCCTTTAAAGTGGACCACATCATGACTGTTCCCTATAATATAGTTGAATACATCATGCCACCTATTCCCCATGTAGTGTGCATGCCACCTATTCCTCCTGAAGTGTGCACGCCACCTATTCCTCCTGAAGTGTGCACTACCAAAAGCATTGGCTTGGTGTAGGCATGGGTTATATACTAGTCATTTCCTTACAAATCGTTGAAGGAAAGTGAACAAGTGCACACCGAAGGAAGTTATTGGGACGCACCCCCTATTCCTTATGTAGTGCATACATGTGCTTCATCTATTCCCACTAATTTGGAGAACTCAGGCATTTTAAAATAAACTAATTGTTTTATTCGTTGTCATTATTAAGAACATTGCACCATATTAAGTCCATATTCTGTCTTTAGACTTCTGTCCCCTGAAAAAGGCAACGTTTCACACATGCACACTCGTGTTTCCTTTCTCAGGTACAGTGTAGAAATGTTTAGGGTGTGAAGTGTTAAAACTGACCGTACCTTAGTGACTGAGGCCTTACTAACTCCTCTCCTGGAGGAATCAACTATGAATCAGACAGTAGTAACTAGTATTATAACTCTCCTGTGAGATTCAGTATTGACTCAGCATTAGGAGGTGAACAGTGATCAATTCTGTCTCTGTTTGTCCATTATAATTAAACTCTTAACTAGAATAAAACTAGTCTGTTTAGCTATCATTCCACTCCTGTCATGCTAAACAGCTTTGGCATTTGACACGGAGTACAAGGAGTGGAATATTAGCTAAACACACTGGTACCCAGGCTAGAACAGACTGGTATCCAGAAAACCCCTAAAAGGAAGAGACCTGGAGATACAGAGGAAAGGAGAAAGTAGAGCTGTAAAGTCTGTTGGTCTGTTTGGCTAGGCTTGTCCCTCTGCTCTCTCCATACGTACAGCCCCAGCCCTTTCATTGTCATAGGGCAGATGTTTGGTAGCAGACCAATCCTAGAGGACTGGAGCTACCCACCCTTGCCACCCAGTCCAGAAGACTCCAGTCCTCGTTTTCCTTTAGTATTAAAGCTCTTCTTGGTAAGGGACGAGAGGACAGAATGTAGTGGAGTGAGTGGTTTAGAGAGTAGATTCCTAAAATCCTGCCAAAGAGGAGGAGGTATATCCAAAGTAGGCGTGTCTTCAGTAGGTCTCAGAATCAGAGTCGTTAAATTCGTTATCGTCGTCGGGGGAAACACAGAGTAGGCGGTCCTGCCTGCAGTAAGAGGTGTGGTCAGGCCTCAGAGGGGGAGGGGACTCAAATGCTACTCCTTTTGATTGGTGGTTGGAGTAGTGATTGACAGATTGAAGCGTTGCCACGGTGACACGAGGGGAAGCATGAAGCGTTGCTATTGAGACCAGGGGAGAGGCGGGCAGCATGGAGTTAAGAATGAGAGTGAGACAGTCGGCTACATCTCTGTTAGGTGCACAGGACAGGGCTGGAGTATAACCTAGGGGGGAGAGAGAAAGGGAGGGTGAGTGTGTGCAGGGCAGGCCCCCCCATTAGGCAGGATTAGGCGGCAGATTGACGAGGGCAGCATTTTCCAAGGTAAACTGACCAATACACCCCCAACAACATAACACCTCACATAATTCTGCCCCAAAACAATGAAAACTTCTCTCACCCAGTGGCATATGGGCTATTAAAGTGAGTGCTGATGCCGGTCCAAGATAAGCAGTTTCCACTTTGCCAAAGGAAAAATATGTATCTTGTCCATGCCCAGCGTGCCTCCCCATGGTGCTGTTGGAGACGCAGCACTGCTCCAACAATGCTCTGTCAGTAATCTAACATATATCATGTAGGCTAGCCCAGGGTTTCCCAACCCAACCCCCCCCCAGACGTTTCACATTTTTGCTTTAACCCTAAACTGGTACACCTGATTAAATTAGTCAAAGGCTTGATGATTAGTTGACTAATTGAATCAGGCCTGAAGAGAGGGCTGGGTAACCCTGGCCTAGCCTATACGGTAGAAAGAGTATGTACAGTTGAAGTCGGAAGTCTACATACACTTAGGTTGGAGTCATTAAAACTTGTTTTTCAACCACTCCACAAATTTCTTGTTAACAAACTATAGTTTTGGCAAGTCGTTTAGGACATCTACTTTGTGCATGACACAAGTAATTTTTCCAACAATTGTTTGCAGACAGATTATTTTACTTATAATTCACTATCACAATTCCAGTGGGTCAGAAGTTTACATACACTAAGTTGACTGTGCCTTTAAACAACTTGGAAAATTACAGAAAATTATGTAATGGCTTTAGAAGCTTCTGATAGGCTAATTTACATCATTTGAGTCAATTGGAGGTCTACCTGAGGATGTATTTCAAGGCCTACCTTCAAACTCAGTGCCTCTTTGCTTAACATCATGGGAAAATCAAAATAAATCAGCCAAGACCTCAGAAAAAAATGGTAGACCTCCACAAGTCTAGTTAATCCTTGGGAGCAATTTCCAAACGCCTGAAGGTACCACGTTCATCTGTACAAACAATAGCACGCAAGTATAAACACCATGGGACCACGCAGCCGTCATACCGCTCAGGAAGGAGACGTGTTCTGTCTCCTAGAGATGAACGTACTTTGGTGCGAAAAGTGCAAATCATTCCCAGAACAACAGCAAATTACCTTGTGAAGATGCTGGAGGAAACCGGTACAAACGTATCTATATCCACACTAAAACAAGTCCTATATCGACATATCCTGAAAGGCCGCTCAGCAAGGAAGAAACCACTGCTCCAAAACCGCCAAAAAAAGCCAGACTACGGTTTGCAACTGCACATGAGGACGAAGATAGTACTTTTTGGAGAAATGTCCTCTGGTCTGATGAAACAAAAATATAACTGTTTGGCCATAATGACCATCGTTATGTTTGGAGGAAAAAGCCAGCGCTTGCAAGCCGAAGAACACCATCCCAACCGTGAAGCACGGGGGTGGCAGCATCATGCTGTGGGAGTGCTTTGCTGCAGGAGGGAATGGTGCACTTCATAAAATAAATGGCATCATGAGGAAGGAAAATTATGTGGATATATTGAAGCAACATCTCAAGACATCAGTCAGGAAGTTAAAGCTTGGTCGCAAATGGGTCTTCCAAATGGACAATGACCCCAAGCATACTTCCAAAGTTGTGGCAAAATGGCTTAAGGACAACAAAGTCAAGGTATTGGAGTGGCCATCACAAAACCCTGACCTCAATCCTATAGAAAATGTGTAGGCAGAACTGAAAAAGCATGTGCGAGCAAGGAGGCCTACAAACCTGACTCAGTTACACCAGCTCTGTCAGGAGGAATGGGCCAAAATTCACCCAATTTATTGTGGGAAGCTTGTGGAAGGCTACCCGAAACGTTTGACCCAAGTTAAACAATTTAAAGGCAATGCTACCAAATACTAATTGAGTGTATGTAAACTGCTGACCCACTTGTGGAAGGCTACCCGAAACGTTTGACCCAAGTTAAACAATTTAAGGGCAATGCTACCAAATACTAATTGAGTGTATGTAAACTGCTGACCCACTGGGAATGTTATGAAAGAAATAAAGCTGAAATAAATAATTATCTCTACTATCATTCTGACATTTCACATTCTTAAAATAAAGTGGTGATCCTAATTGACCTAAGACAGGAAATTTTTACTAGGATTAAATGTCAGGAATTGTGAAAAACTGAGTTTAAATGTTTTTGGCTAAGGTGTATGTAAACTTCCGACTTCAACTGTAGCCTCTGTGGCCTTTTCTGTAGCCTACAGGGAGACCAAATTTATGACAATGTCACGATACAGACACTTTTTAGGCCTAAATCATGCGTGTTTCCAATGAAATAGCCGAAATGGCGCCCTATTTTTTATAACTAAAAAAATCGCTTCGATGTGAATATTAATTAACATGTTAACAAACACACCACATCCTAAAAACAGGAGAGGTCAAAGTAAAATGGACAATAGCATTTGGAATGAAATTAGGCAATTAGTCAATTTCTAAGCTGATCATGGCTGTGAAGAAAATACGAACTGCATTTTCCAAGATAATGTTATGCCGATAGAGTTGGAACAGTTTCATTTTAATAATAACATTTTGTTTCTCAACATCATTGTCACGTGGTTAATAATAAAAATCTAAAAGTTAAAATTAAACTAATGCGAGAGCACCAGCATCTGCCATATTGACACATTGATACACCGTGAGCTATTGGCAGCTAAAGAAATGAGCACATGGAACTCAGAGATTGCCTATAGGCCAATGCAAGAGTAGGCCTATAACTTTCATTGTCAACTAAGTAAAAATACATAAAGCTGACAAATGCAGTTTCTTTCAATCGTATTCAACTCTCTACTCCGCCTGTCTGCCTCCCTTGCTATCGGTCTTGATTTGAGCATTTGCTAATGAAGTGCAACATTATATAAAATCAATCAACTGGGTATGTCCCAAAGGGGTCACTATAGCAAACTTGCAACAACTAGCTGGGCCCTAAGAGTTTCTTGCACCAGTGAGCTTGGGACAGACACAGCTGTTTTGCGCAAGGGAAAAGTGTTCAGGTATTTTATGACGTTCCCACTGGATATATGGGATCCTCAGAGCATGACATTTTGCTCTTTCACACCGCGGCTTGGTGATTATCGAGGGGGTGAGTGTTGGACAAAAAAATACATAAATACTGTAGCTAGGTTTCCATCCAATTGGCGACAGATTTTCATGCGAATATTTTCAGATTCACTTAGGAAAAGAAATGAGCGCATTTTCCCACCACAGAATCGTTAACAAAACACTGTGTGTGATGACATAGTGCACATAAAAATACCTTTTGCGATTAAATTCCCATATACAAAAATTATTAGTCAAGTCTGTCAGGTATCAGGACTATAAAGCCAACGCAACTGCATGTTTTACAAACGGTAGGCTTCCACATGGACGGGCATTCATAAAAGTGCATTGCGGGCCGACACTGTAGGCCAGGGTTCCCCAACTGACGGCCCCCCAAGTTTTCAGATTTTTTATTATTTTGGAAATCTGTTCCAAAGTATTCCTACACATAATAGAGAGATATGTGATCATAAACAAATGTAAGCAAGGTTTAAAAATGATTGTGTTTAGTAAAATATGATATCCGTTTGGGCTTCTTGCGGTCAATTTGCAGTCTACAAATTATTTGTAATTATGTTCCGGCCCCCTGACCATCCGCTCAAGAAGAAAATGGTCCCACGGCTGAATCTAGTTGATGATCCCTGTTGTAGGCTATAGCCTAGTCTACTAAACTACTTTGCGGGTATAAGAGGAGGGCGGCAATTTTTGGGGTCTCGCCTTGTGCGGCATATTGGCCAGGACCGGCCTGTATGTGTGTGTGTGTGTGTGTGTGTGTGTGTGTGTATGTATGTATGCTTGCGTGTCAGTATGTATGAGCGTTTGAGGGTGTGTTTGTGACAGTATTATGATACTGACCATTCTCATCCACCGCTAGAACACTGGCTCCTTTCCCCAGCAGCTCCTGAACCACTACAGTCAGACCATTCCTAGCTGCTACATGGAGGGGCCTGAGAGAGGTCGTGAGAGAGAGGAGAAAGAGGGTGAGAGACAGACACGCACGCCGAGTGAAGTCATACTAGCCTAATAACATGCTAACTAATAACACTGTGTATATGTTGGTGTTGTGGTGTGTTCCATTTGTGAAAATCATTCAGGGTACATACGTCTGTAGAGAAGTGTTGGTGCAGTTGATAAAGTTTCTGTCTGATATCTTCTCTAGTATCAACAACGCACTAGTCTCATGGCCCTGATGGAGAGAGAGAGAGAGATGGATAGAGAGAGGGTAAAACATTTAACAAACAGTGATTTGATTAACAATATACAGTGGCTTGCGAAAGTATTCACCCTCTTAGCATTTTCCCTATTTTGTTGCCTTACAACCTGGAATTAAAATAGATTTTTGGGGGGTTTGTATCATTTGATTTACACAACATGCCTACCACTTTGTAGATGCAACATATTTTCTATTGTGAAACAAACAAGAAATAAGACAAAAAAACTGAACTTGAGCGTGCATAACTATTCGTCACCCCCGAAGTCAATACTTTGTAGAGCCACCTTTTGCAGCAATTACAACTGCAAGTCTCTTGGGGTATGTCTCTAAAGCTTGGCACATCTAGCCACTGGGATTTTTGCCCATTCTTCAAGGCAAAACTGCTCCAGCTCCTTCAAGTTGGATGGGTTCCACTGGTGTACAGCAATATTTAAGTCATACCACAGATTCTCAATTGGATTGAGGTCTGGGCTTTGACTAGGCCATTCCAAGACATTTAAATGTTTCCCCTTAAACCACTCGATTATTGCTTTAGCAGTATGCTTAGGGTCATTGTTCTGCTGGAAGGTGAACCTCCGTCCCAGTCTCAAATCTCTGGAAGACTGAAACAGGTTTCCCTCAAGAATGTCCCTGTATTTAGCGCCATCCATCATTCCTTCAATTCTGACCAGTTTCCCAGTCCCTGCCGATGAAAAACATCCCCACAGCATGATGCTGCCACCACCATGCTTCACTGTGGGGATGGTGTTCTTGGGGTGATGAGGTGTTGGGTTTGCGCCAGACATAGCGTTTTCCTTGATGGCCAAAAAGCGCAATTCTAGTCTCATCTGACCAGAGTACCTTCTTCCATATGTTTGGGGAGTCTCCCACATGCCTTTTGTTTGTTTGTTTGTTTCTTTAAGCAATGGCTTTTTTCTGGCCACTCTTCTGTAAAGCCCAGCTCTGAGGAGTGTACGGCTTAAAGTGGTCCTATGGACAGATACTCCAATCTCCGCTGTGGGTCATCTTTGGTCTCTTTGTTGCCTCTCTGATTAATGCCCTCCTTGCCTGGTCCGTGAGTTTTGGTGGGCGGCCCTCTCTTGGCAGGTTTGCCATATTCTTTCCATTTTTTAATAATGGATTTAATGGTGCTTCTGATATTTTTTTATAACCCAACCCTGATCTGTACTTCTTCACAACTTTGTCCCTGACCTGTTTGGAGAGCTCCTTGGTCTTCATGGTGCCACTTGCTTGGTGGTGCCCCTTGCTTAGTGGTGTTGCAGACTCTGGGGCCTTTCAGAACAGGTGTATATATATACTGAGATCATGTGACACTTCGATTGCACACAGGTGGATTTTATTTAACTAATTATGTGACTTCTGAAGGTAATTGGTTGCACCAGATCTTATTTAGGGGCTTCATAGCAAAGGGGGTGAATACATATGCACGCACCACTTTTCCATTATGAATTTTTTAGAATTTTTTGAAACAAGTTATTTTTTTCATTTAACTTCACCAATTTGGACTATTTTGTGTATGTCCATTACATGAAATCCAAATAAAAATCCATTTAAATTACAGGTTGTAATGCAACAAAATAGGAAAAACGGCAAGGGGGATGAATACTTTTGCAAGGCATTGTATGGTGCTTGTGTGTGTATTACCTTGCTACATGCCAGGTGAAGGGCTGTGTTCTTGTTAGTATCCTGTAGTGTGAGGTCTGCCTTAGCACTGCTCACCAACACCTCTATATGAGAGAGAGAGAGAGAGAGAGAGAGAGAGAGAGAGAGAGAGAGAGAGAGAGAGAGAGAGAGAGAGAGAGAGAGAGAGAGACCAGCAAACAGTTATATCAGAAGAGGTAAGGGATGAGGGATAGGTAGAGGGGACGAGAGGAGGAGGGGTAGAGAGTGTGTACTGACCTACAGCGTTGGTCTGTCCATTGTGCGCTGCCATCATCAGCGGTGTGGTCCGTGTGTGTGTGTCGGAGGTGTTCGCCTGCGCACCGTGACTCAACAACAAGGACACACACTCCACATGGTCCGAGAATGCTGCCGCATGGAGGGGAGACCTACAGCAGGGTGACAACACACACTGTTACACACACAGCTCACGTTCTGAGAGTATGTGTGTGTGTGCGTTTGTAGGGCCGGCCCTGGGCATAAGCCGCTTAGGGCCCCGTCCGCTAAGGGGCCCCCAACCCCCCCCCAAAAAACCTCTGTCGGGTCTCAACTTACTGTTGAGAGTTAGAATAGTAGAATACAGCAGGTGCCATTTAGAAATTTGGTTGTTTATCAGAAGTTTTTCTCGTTATGTCAGTCACAGACAGTCGCTAAATTAGGCCAATTTTTATGTATTTATTGTTAAGTGAGTCTAGCCAGCTATCTACACTTAGTTGAATTATCGAGCGGGCAAGAAGGGCTCGTGCCCATGGGCCCTGACCTCCAGGGGGCGCACATTGATTTTATTTACTCTCACTAAGCTATCATATTAACATGGTCATGGCAAAATTCATGGCAACATTTGGAAAATTGCAGGAAATTCGTTTTAAACTGCAAAAATGTCTCTCCACCCTATGGCAAAATGTGTAGAATTTCAGGAAATTAACTATAAAACTGCTAAATGTTCTCTCTGCCCCATTGCAAAATTAGTAGAATTGCATGAAATTAGTTATAAAATTGTTAAATCTTCTCTGCGCCCCACGGAAAAATTTGTAGAATTGCAGGAAATTCATTATACACTTTTTTTCCCCCTTCTCTTCACCGACAAGAGAGGGGGGACTAAAATGTTTTGCCCGTGAGGTGCAACATTTCGCTTAGGGCACCCAAAAGTCTAGGGCCAGCCCTGTGAGTGTGTTTCTGTGTGTGTGTGTTTAATAATTTGTGTGTAATAAAACACTACTGGACAGTTTATTAGGTAAACTGCTCGTTGATGAGAGAGGTCGAAGGAGAATGGCAAGAATCATGCAAGCTAACAGGCGGGCCACAAACCGACAAATAACGGTGCAGTACAACAGTGGTGTGCAGAACGGCATCTCGGAACAATTTGTCGGTCCTTGTCACGGATGGGCTATTGCAGCAGACGACCACACCGGGTTCCACTCCTATCAGCTAAAAACAAGAAGAAGTGGCTCCAGTTGGCACACAATCACCAACACTGGACAATTGAGGACTGGAAAAACATTGCCTGGTCCGACGAATCCCGGTCCCTGTTGCGTCATGCTGATGGCAGAGTCAGGATTTGACGTAAGCAGCATGAGTTCATGGACCCATCCTGCCTGGTACAGGCTGGTGGTGGTGGTGTAATGGTGTGGGGAATGTTTCCTGGCACACGTTAGGTCCCTTGATACCAATTGAGCAAGGAACGTTTGTGACAACTTGTAGAATCGATGCCCCGAAGAAGTCAGACTGTTCTGGAGGCAAAGGGGGGTCTGAGCCAGTCCTAGATGGGTGTACCTAATAAACTGTCCAGTGAATGTATATGTGCGTGTAATAATGTGTCTCACCTGCCCTTGGTGTCTGTAGTGTTGACTATAGCAGAACCCAGAGAGTTGATCAACATCTCAGCGACTCCCTCGTTGTCATTCATACTGAAACAGCAGAGAGGAAACACTTTTTTTCTTTAGGGGGTAGATCAGCTTTAATATTGCAGATAGATTGTGGGTTCTATCAATGTAATTGTCTGCATCATTTCCAAATCACACTTTTACACTCATTGAATATTTTATTTACATCCCCATGTAACACAAATTACACCTTTTTAGTGATCATATATTTATTTTGGTGGTCATAGACATACTAGGACCTGTGAATCTTAGCAAACGAGTGACTCACTGGGATCGAACCCACAAGACTGTGTTAGCACCCTGAGCTTAAGCCTAGGCATTCGAGAGTTAAGGCTTACACGGCACAGTGCAGAGGACTGAAGTGGTTTCCCTGTGTCTTCCTGAACACTTC